CGCGCGTGTGTGTGCCTGTGTGTGTGTGCGTGTGTGTGAGAGTGTGTTTTTTGTACATTTTAAGGAATCTTTACATATTTATAAATAATATTTCAGATTTCATAAAATGTGCAAAAAATTATCACTTACATTTTTGTAACGTTTACACGTAGTTTATTACTTTTTTGGAGTAATTCGAGAAGTGAGAAAATAATTGCACCAGACATTGTTGGAGATATTAAGGTCAGAAGACTAGAATGGCTCGGACATCTATTACAAATGGAAAAAGAAAGTATCCCCAAAATTATCTTCTGTAAAGAACCTGAAGGAAGATGAAAGAAAGGAAGACCCCATTTAAAATGTCTGGATGATGTTGAAATGGATTTGAGATCAATGGGAGAGAGGGTGGAGAAGAGAGAATTGAATGGGCATTAATCTTTCAACACCCCAAGGCTAAACATAAAGGTTCATAGTGAGAGAGAACAACAATATTCTCTTGTAAAGAAAAATGTTTATCTCACTCTGACAAGGAAAAATTTCAACTGCCATTGCAGTAAATACATGCTCTGATAGGAAAGTAATTTTGTACAGACATTAAGCACATGTGATAAACGTGCATATAAGAATCACATTTTCTGCCTTTGGTTAAAGCAATCATCTTATATTTTGAATGAAAATTTTATATCCTCAAAATAAGAAACCCAAAAACATTTCAATTCCTTAAAATGTACAAAAAATGATTATATAATGCAGTTCATTGTTTTATTTGGAGTAATTTGAGAAGCAAGAAAAGAGAAATTGTAACCTACCTCAGTTAAATAATAATACTTAGGTCCATTTATTTTTTACTTTTCTTTCTCTTCCTATCATTACTATTAGTCAATTCCATGCTTTCAGTTATTGCTTTTTTTTCAATATGTTTTCCAAATCCCTGTAAGGGCAGACATTGAACTCACTGTTTATCACTTCTATAAGAGTCAAATTGATTCGAGAACAGTATCTTTGGGGGGGGGGATGAGAAATGTTTTCTATTATTAACTTATTACAGCTGAATGGTGGATAGAGGACATTTTAATGCCAGGTATGTTACACAAAATCTCAAGTAATATTTATATTATGATGGTAAAAAATTGTTAGTTCACCAACACCTAGTTTACGTTTCAATTTTGAATCCAATCCTAGTTGTTGAACTTCATTTGTGTTAGATTTCTGCTTTAACTCATTTTGGTTCAATAATGTTCTGTTCTCACTTTCCAGAATCCAATGAAGGTGATTCAGGTATTCTCTCTCCTCTAGGCAAAATATTGTCAAAATACCTCATTTTACTGTAACAAATGTTTTGTTAGTCCCCTGACCTTACTTCTCCTCTCCTCCAAAACCTGTTATTGGTTATTAGTATGTAATTGGTAAAACACCAAATAATAGCACAAATACTGTAGTTTCTTTTTAAATGAATAACATATGCCATTACATTTACTTCTCACTTTTCAGGTAAATTTAACATCCTAAATCTTAATAATCTCCTCACACTCTTAAAAGCACAATACTTTTTTCTGAACCATCTAGCAATGGAAGGAAAGAAAGAACCAATTTCGAATGATATTAGAATCACAGTTCCATCAATGATGCAGAAAAACAAATGTTATTTTAAAATAACTTCTTATAACTTGCTCCTTATGCTCAAAAAGCTAAGATGCTTGGATCTCTGGCAACTCCTCATTTAGAAAAAGCACTTCATGCACAATAGTGTAGGACTCAGTATGCTTCTTGCTTCACACAAAAACTTGTTGGGACAGCAAGGCACAACGGAAGATGTGCTGTGAAACTCTTGATTTCAAGCAGTTTAGTGCAATTAAGACCTCTTTGTGCATAGTTACCAGAACACTGGCATTAATTCAGTGGTTGACAGTAGCCTTGTTCAGTATTTCAGAGAAAACATTGATTCTTTACAAAAGGAAAAGAATGCATTAACCTACACAAATGCATGGCTGAATTAAATTTAATGGAAAGATTTACAGATTTAGTTACATCTAAATTAATTAAAACATATCAAACAGACTTGTCTTTTTTTCTTACTAACAGATTATTCCATTTTAAGTAGTTAAAAAAAAAAAAAAAAAATCACCTAACCATAGGGGAAAAACACACCACACACACACCAACAACATTATTTTTATTCAATTCTCTTACGTTACAAAACTTTATAGTATGTGTTTTGCAAATGGTGGCCATTTTTGTAGTGAGCCAAGCACAGTTTTTTGGTGTTGTAGAGGTTTTTGGTATTGTAAATTTACTCAGCGTTAGCTAGTTGTAGCTTTTTAAACTAAAATGCATTGAATTCAGTAAACTCTGGCCTACAAATGAAAGTAATATTTATCTACTTATATTTATCTACTATTACTTATTTACCAATATTTCTATTTGAATAATATTTTTAAGCAAAACTATCGATCATAAATTAGCAAATTCCAACATTTAGAGAGTAATTTTTCAAAGGAATAGAGTTACAGCCTTCATTTTTTCTGTGCTCTTACACATAACAGTGTATTTACTTTACAAACAATATTAATTATGAACAGCATACCATTTAAAAATTACACCCTCCTAAAAATTGGAATTTTGGATATTTTTCAAATTTTGACTGTAATATCTCTTTTGAGAGACCTGATAAAAATTTGAATTTTGTACTTGTAAGAAACCAAACTGCAGTATAAACTTCAACTTTAGAGATTTAACTCAAAACATAAAAATAATAAATGTAATAAAGAATTGTAAAGTTACACAAGATATGCTTCATTTCCACTCTGGGGACAAGTGGCGACAAGGTCTAATCATATTATTTTCCAACCATTCAGAACCGGTTACTCACTTTCCATAGAACAGAATACAAACTGTTTTGTTGAGAACAAGATTTCCAGTTTGACTGAAAATTTTCAGAATTATTGCATTATCTTTTTCCCCTTACTGTAAATTTTTTTAAATAATTTCATTGCCTCAGATCAGACTTTTTTTAGGCAAAATTTTTTTAGATCCTGGATAAAATAATGGAATTTTTTGTTATTTTATTATAGAACATGGAAACGGTAAGAAAACAATTAACCAAATAATAATTACATAATTATTATTATAATAGATCCAACCTCTCAATAACTAATTTATGTCGTTCCCAAATTTAACCTCAAAGGGTAAACAGACCAAAAAGTTGCAAGTTGATGTTCATGGGTGTATTACCAAATGAATTTTTAAAATTTTAGCATTAGTACTGCCTTTTTACTTTCTGCCCTTGCTATACACTTACAAACTTAAAAGAAAGTATTGTAATGCTTTGGTGGAAATCAGAAATATTTCAGCATAAATCTCCAGACCCAAATTATTGGGTCTTGATATAAAACATCTGGATGAATCTTGTTCCTATAAATAGTAGAATAATTCTTCTAACATGCAAAATCAGAAACCATGATTTGTGAGTCCATGATACCGAAAAATTAATTCACGAAATGTCCGCCAGTCTGTCCATCCCTGATCAATGCTAGCACCTAAACCGTTCAGAAAATCTTTTCCAAAATTTATATTTCCCAGTCATTCTGAACAAACTCAATATTCAGAGAGTTTGAAATCAATATTTTGGATTTAAAAGCCTCAACATTTTGAAATTTTCTCAAAAATGTCACTGAATTTTATCATCAAACTTTGACCTCAAGCAGCATAGAAGATGCTCAAAAAATTATGTAAATCTTCCTCGTATGTCACAAAGGACAGTAAAACATTGTGAAGGTCGCATTTTCAGCATATTCTCTGTATTTTCAAAAATTGCACAAATTAAGAATGCAAAAGTACAATATTGATGATAGGCATTTATTCTGAAATGAAATATGTTCTCAAAAATTAGACCAAGTTCTGTTTTTGAAAAAACATTTCACATGATTTCTGCTTTAAGTTAATGCAATGTAAATTTAATAAAACAATTTAAAAAATCCTATTTATTTCTTTAAATTTAGTTCTACTATGAGAGCAAAAAAGGCTTAAACATGGTGCATGTCTCAATTTCGTTGAACTCTCTAAATTTTAGAAACTTGAAACGTGGAAATAATTTGAGGAAGTACATGCTAATGGAGCACCTCTAGTTTGGTGTTTTGGGCTCCACTTTTTGTAATTTCCAATAGTTATAATAAATTTAAATGACTGTAAAGATGTAAATTTCAAAATTTAGTTTTTGCCCTTATGATGCTATGCCCTTAAATACTTTTTCAGAAGCGCAGGTCATCTTTAAAGGCTGTAAGGCGGAGCCTCTCCTATAGAAATCACTCCCCAAAAGAAATTTAAAAATATATTTATAAATGTATTTATTTATTAATAATAGATTTCTGAGTTATATTATGTAACTATCATATCAACATTTTTCTGTCAGTTTAATAATGGCATTTGAAGTTGTTGTCAGGGAAAAGAAAAGCATTAGACTCCCACCTCATTCCACCAAAAGGCCTGTGTAAAATGTGAAGGCGTGACATTATGCATTCACTGCACTGGCTTACTGGTGGACTAAAGCTCTGGCCAAGCATGTCAAGGGTGGGGCGTAGGGTTTGAGGGTGAGCTCACCAGAGCATTACTATGCAGCTCAGTGAGTAGCATTAGCACCAACTAGTTTTCTCAATACACAGTAGGAGCACTACTCCCTTATGCATATATAGAAAGAGATTATGTATAGAAATACAATGCTTGCAATGCAAAGCATATGCAGCCTTTCCCATTTAGGAAACCATGAGCAGCGACTGATTTTTCACGTACTTCTATGACAAAATTAATCTAATCTTGTTGCAATAATAGATTAACTTTGTCTGATATATACCATTAAAATACATTTTGATACACAATATTTCCAAAATATTATTATTATACCAATACTCAACAACTGCCTTAAATGTCAAAACTCCAGAAGACCACAAAAATTATTCACAAAGAATTCAATTTTTAATTGTCCATTTCAGAAAAAGACAAAATATTTTAATTGAATTAATACTTACGATGGTGAAATTATAAACTGTAAATGTTACATCCACATCTGCAAAAATTTCTAGTAATGATTGGCGAACATCTCTCCAATTGAGTCTATCCAGACCACAACCTAGTCTAGGAATTGCAATCTTCTTCACTTGATTTTTCTCAACATGATTTTTCATGTCTTGTAATGAATCTTTTAAATCTATTAGTCTTGGTTTGCCAGTACTCAATTTTTTGGTTATAAGATAATATATAAAACGTCCTTCCTCCTCAAGTACTGCAACTTGACCAACTTTTTTTCTCTGGCCAGCAAGTTCACCAACATTTTTGAATTTTTGCCTTAAAATAAATAAATTGCAAGAATTAGAATTTTAACAGCAAGATTTTGACTTAAATAACAATGAATACATACTTAAATTGCACTGCTATGCCACTGCCCATTCTCAAATCAGCAGCCACACAATGAGCCAAAGAATAATCTTCAGGTGCTGAAAAAAGATCTCCATTTATTTCTTCAATTTTGACTTTTGAATAATGTTCTTTGTTCTTGTCGTATCTTTGCTGGTTTCCATCTCTTCTGTTCCTGAAATGTCTCTCATTTCCACTCCTGAAATGAATCCAAAGCATTAACATACAAATCCGATCCTATGAAATCACAATTAATGTGATAGCATCATTGGGATTTATTATTAATTTATTAACGACTCATCCTTCAGAAATTCAAATAATCATTGTAGACACGTCATACAGGTAACATGACAATAATGTTTACAATAAAAATACATAAACTAATTACATGAAGAATATAAAACACACAGCAAAACAAATAGCTAACTCACAGCGAGTATCAGAGGATTACATACATAAGTCGTGAATGCACTCATAGAATGAATTAAATCAAAGAATTAAAGTTGGTCTATAACATTGGAATCAGTAAGTAAAAGAAGTTTTAAGGGAAGTAAAGGAAAATTGTATTTAAAGTTAGGATTGATTTTTTCAATCATATCAGCATAGTAATTGGCAGTTCTAGGTAGTCTATTAAAGATATCATAATAGCTGTAGTTAGTTGAAGATGCATTCACCCAGAAGCAGATATAGGGTATCTCATTTTCATCTAAGGGATATGAAGAGAGATAAGAGAAAGAAGATCAGGGCAATCAATGAGATCATGTAGTATTTTATGGAAGAAAATTAAATCATAGAATTTTCTCCTAACCTGAAGAGTTTCCAATATCAGTAAATTGTAGAATTTGGAAAGATCAGAATAAAATCTATCAATTGTGACCCATTTCTGAAAGCTAGGTGGCATAGAAATTTACTTTGTACTTATCCCAATTGATTGATTGATAGTTTAGTGTATAATGGCTAAATGACAGAGGTGTATTCTAAAATTGGACGAATCAGAGTTTTATACAGAGTTAATTCGTTATCAATGGAACGGAAGAATTTGGTTTTTTGCAAAATCACACCCAGGGAACGCAGAGCTTTATTCACTGTAACTCTAATATGTATATTAAAATCGAGTTTAGAGTAAAAAATTACTCCAAGATCCCTGATCTTAAAGACAGTGATCAAGAATTCACTGTTTAAAGAATATAGGTGTTTCATGACACTATGCCTGGGCAAAGGTCATCGTACAACACATGTCAGTGTGGAGTTCCACTTCGTTTCTAGAACACCACTGTGAGAAGGCTGAGAGATCCTCCTGAAAGTGGTATAGATGTCATTAAAATTAGTAATCCTGGCATAAATTTTAACATCGTCCACAAACAATAAGATTTAATATATTTAAAAGCAGATGGCAGATTATTAATGAAAATATCAAACAAAATCAGACCCAGATAAGAGCCTTAAGCTATATCAGAATTAACTACAACTAACTCAGACCATTAACGACATACTGGCTTCTGGAAAGATATGAGCGTATCCATGATCCGAGTAGATCATTGATGCCTGAGTATGACAACTTGTCAATCAATATGTTGTTAACACTGTTAAAAGCCTTGGCAAAATCCATGTACACAGCATCGACTTGACAACCAGATTCAAATGCTTTAATGATATAGTTTTTAAACATAGCTTAATTAGTTGTAGTAAACGTAGTAGTGGATGTAGTAGACGTGGTAGTCGCAGTCGTCATTGTCGTGGTCGTAGTAGTAGTAGTAGTGATAGTGATAGTAGTAGAACGTAGTGGTAGTAGTGATAGTAGTAGAACGTAGTGGTAGTAGTAGTAGCAGTAGTAGTAATAGTAGTAGTAGAAACAGTAGTAGTAGTCTTTGCAGTCGTCGAGGCAGCGGAGCAGGAGCAGTAGTATGAGCGAGGTTCTTTATGGCTGATTCTGCTTCTTGCATTCCAGTCGACACGTTCTTCAATCTTCCTCTTGAATATCTCGTTTCTTCATCACCTTTTCTCTCATTTTTCCATATTTTTCTTGGTCTGCCATGCATCCTGTTTCATTGAGGTAACCATATTAAAATTTTCTTAGTACATCGATTGTCTGTCATCCTTGGCTATGATCACACCATCTCAATCTTGATTAATCATATTCTTAGTTACCTAACCAATCACTTGGTTAATCACAGTATGTCTCTCCAATGAATTCTAGTAGAAATATCTTCATTCTCACTTGAAAAGCTGTGAGCTTCCTGAAAGATTTCATGTCTGTCTAAGTAAAATTCTTGGTCTGAGATATGCAGGACAAATATACCATATTGAATATCATTTTAAACAGCTTCCTCTACTTAGCAATTCTAACATAGACAACACTGTCAACAAAATATTGACTTCATTTACATAATAATTTAAAACAAATAAACTGAATATTACATAAAATCAATACAAAATAAGAAGTCAGAACAATGTTCCTATCTTCTTCATTATTAATGGCAGTGTTATTTACAATTAAGGCAGTTTACAAATAATTTTTGATAGTATGTGTATACATATGTGCAAACAATTTTTTTGATTCTTGTAGGAAGGCTGGTGCATATACTGTGGTTCTGAAGGAATTTTACTTGATTTTCTTGTTTTCTCAATTTAGTCAGCATTTGTTGAATTCCTTCTTAGAAGACATAGGGAACCTTCTTTACAATTGCCGGAGTAAGAAACACTACTGTCCATGCAAGTATCGATCACAGTTTCCTAAATAAATTACTCTATTTATTGCAACAATATTTTTGAAGATGAGACAAAATGACCATTGGCCATATCTTTATCATGTTTGTGTATTAGTGACATAATAAGTGCCTTCCACAATATCATCATGGTAGTTCTAAATCTTCTTTGCCTACTTCATGATCCATATCTAAATTCACAGTATCCTAGTCTTTTCTTCTGATTCACAATTAGAACTTTCTTCAAAATATCTTCTTCTTATCAAAAATTTATTGTATTTCCTACATATTCAGCAGTATACAGAATATAACAATTACTGAGAATAATATAAGGGGAATATATTATATTATTCTAACACTTTGACTTTCAAAATGGAAAGAGTATCAAAGATATGCTAAAATATGTGATAAATTAACTAAATAATGTCACCAATTCTCATGTACTTATCATCTCAGTATTTCTGGACCTGGTGAAAGCTTTTGACACTGTGAATCATTTGTTGTTGAATAAACTTAGTAAATATGGCTTCAGAGGTATACCCATAGACTAATGAATTATAGAACTTCTTTAGTCTATGGTATAGCATATGAACATTATAGCTCAGTGAAGTAGTTATTTAACTTAGCACAAGCAAGAAGTTAAAATTTGCAATTCTCTGAATAAAACATTAATAATTGCATGCAGAGTTCCCCAGGATATTAAGACCATTATTATTTATTTTAAAAATTCAAGATCTGTTCATGGTATTGCCTAATAGTGGACGAGTACCTTATGCAGATGATACTGGCCTTGTTGTTAAGGGCCAGTCCTGACTAAATGTCATTACGGTAGTGGAGCAAAATTTGAGTTGTATTGCTAAAAGGCTATATTTAAGTCATCTCAGCCTTAACATTAAAAAATGGTCTTTATAAACTATGGTAGTTATAAAGACTGTGTACCAGACTATTGTAATCTTAAAATTCATGCTGAAAATCGTGATACCATTGATTGTTATTGTCCGAAAATTGAGAGTTGTGTAAGCCTGAGGATATACTTTCACTGCAACTTGAAGTGGGAACAACATTTTTTACAAATAACTTCTTAACTAAGATTACTTACATTTTTTATAAATTATTAAATATATTAAAAAGAAAATGATTACTAATGATTTTTTATGTTTTCCTTCAGTCTTTGGCTACATACAGAATTATCACCTGGGGTGGTGCCCATGAATGGGTGATTAAATCCTTGATTACTACTCAAAAATCAAATATTAGGACAATCTTTGGTGACAACCAGCAATACTTCCCTGAGAACTCACTCAGGGATAATACAATTAATTTCCATTAGGAAGTTTTATTAAGAAAAATTGCTGCTGCCCAGCTTTTCCTACCTGCATAACATCTCTAATAAATAAAAAAATAAATAAATAAAAAAACAACAACCACATTCCTCCTAAAGTTAACAAAGTCATAAGCAGGAGAATCTGTGAGTATGTTGCCTATATGATCTTTAATCATTTCAATGAAGATATGAATAATAAGTTTACTTATAAGACACTTAGGAAATGGTTGGTAAACTTCAGCAAAGTTATGAAATAGCACTCTTTTCTTTTTCCATTCTCACTTGTGTTAGTAAACATACTTTTTTCTATTGTAATTATTTCTACTTTTTTGTGATTTGTACCTCAAAAAGAAAAAAAGTGCTTAATAAAGAAGGCATGAACAATGTAACAGTTGGTTTGCTCAGAGAAGGACAGCCATCTGGAAAGATTCATGCATTACAATTTATCATGCAAAAACAAAAATAATGAAATGTAAAACAGTCACACACCACTGGTCTCCTCGCCTGTCCCCTAGGTCATTGTACATCCTTTGATTGCCATGAGCTCCATATGGCCCACCAAAATCATTACCATGTCTGAATTCATGTCCATGTGGCCTTCTATTGCCTGTCTGTTCATTACCATATTTGTATTCATTGCCTCTTCTCTCTTTATTATATACTGCTTGACTGCCATACTGCCTGACATTTCCACCTTCATTGTCATGTTTTGTATTGCTTTCTTTATCCCATCTATTTTTCTGCTCCTGTTGGTTGCCATAACTTCTCTGGGGAGCCAATGGTTCCTCTCCTCCACAAGCAATATCATAGGTTTGACCCCAAGACTCATTAGTCACATTTTCCGACCGTTTAGTATCACTTTTTCCCTCACAATCAGGACTAGTCCAATCCATCCCCTGTGGAGAGAAAAAGAGAATGATTTATACCACTCAACACTGGGAAAATATTTTTAACATTACAGAGACAACAAATTCATAGTAAAATTATATATTTCAGACACATTATTAATTAATATTAATAATTATTAATACAATAAAACCTGTCTAAGTCGGAATCATTCGGGTCCAACATTTTATTACATCTAGTACAGGTTTCCTGCTTATTTAGGTTTGCAATAAAAACTATCAATTCAGAAAGTGCAATTGTTCAAAGATGGAATAGGTTGTACAAGTAGCTCATCTCACCTAAAAACTACATTTCAAAGAAATGACATCCCGAGAGAGGCACAGAATATGACATACAAAAATACAACACGAACACTAATGAAACAAAGAACTCCATAAAAAGTAAAAGAAAATTTGTTTCTTCGATATTTGTATGAACAGATGAATTTATCTGATGAATTAGACTCCATTTATTTGCCTAGACACTCATGATTATTGGGGCAACCATGTATAAAATATTTTTAACCACTCATTCTTGATTTTGACATTGTTTTGAAGATGTTGTTTTGAAGATGTTAAAGTTGAGTTTTCCCAACTTTAAAATTCTTTATCAAAACATAGACAGAAGTGTTTAGAGTATGTTCATAAATTAGTCTAATTATCTCACCAAAAGTTGATGTTTTTTGCCACCTTACATAAACACTTGATTAACACAACACCTGCAACTCGAACTAAACAGAACAGTAAATGTTTAGAAGCACTGAACCCAAAGCATGCATTACAAGAACAGTGGAAGGATCACTCTTTGTGTCTCTCCTTTCTTCACATGAGCTTGTAAAGGTCAGTGCTATTACAAATAAACAATGGCTTTCACATAAGTTGGGTGGGAAATACAATGTTCGGACAAGAGTAGCTGAGAAATGGATGAGCACACCTCTGTATGACTGATGGTATGACACCACACACGCAAATCAATGTTTAAATTTAAAATAATATTTGTTTTCCGTCTTACTCAGAATTTATAATATTGTCACACTAAAAATTCCTTTTCATTTCCGGATTAGGCAGGTTTCCGGCATATTCGGTGTAATTTGCATTGGAAAATAGTCCATTCTGAATTTTTTACCGGCAAAAGTAGGTTTCCCCTTTATTCAGGTTCAACCTTAGACAGGTTTTTCTGCATGTTGTTAAAACAGTTTTTGTAGACAAATTAATAATTATATTAACATGTTGGCAGCCATGAGAAGCATATCATAATGCTCACTGAATTGGTCCGAAAGACTTTGAGCATCAATAGTTGCTTCTCAGTCATGATGAGTTTCAGTAGCCTTGAAGTGCAACATTCACTTCTCAAATCAGTGTTTCAGTAAGGGAGCCTAAAATGTATGGCTGTAACAACAGATTTTCATTTTGGCATGCACCTAGGTGAATAGTGATGATTCTCATGGCCTGATTTCTGGAAAAGGATTTTTGGATTGAAAAGTCTAAATAAAATATAAGAGGAATTTTATTGAGATATGAAAACTTTATTTACATATTATGAACAACTATTGTTTTTTACACACATAAACATCAAAAAAACAAGCAACAAGAACAGGCACGCTTCTGAGATTCAGTGTATGATTCACACGACCATTGTCGTAAAGATATAAGCAAAGGCTACAAAAATTAATAGCAGATTCTTAGAACAAAATAGTACAAAATTACTACTTTTTAACTAAGAAATACAATCGAGAATAATCAGCAATCCCGTCTAACCTATAGACGGTTCAAAAGGGCTCAGCCAGAAGGTTCGTCACATTCTGAACTATTGTCAACATGTAATGTTGGTGTTGTTTTTAATAATGATAATGATAATGATAATAATAATAATAATAATAATAATAATAATAATAATAATAATAATAATAATAATAATAATCACATAATATCATAAAGTCTCATTTTTGTTATTGTTTCTTATTACTTACTTCCAAATTATTTAGTTAATTGTCTCATAATTTTTATGGCTATTGTTTGGTCAATAATCAATCTAATGTAGACAATTTGTCAATTTACTTCATGTTAATGTTACTTGCCATTTGGCTCGTAATTTCTATTCGTTCCTTGGAAAAAATCTAAATTTCAGTAGGAACAGTTCGTGCAGCATACAGTAACTGGCAAACAGTACAGATGATTGGGTGAACTGTAGTGAACGGCTATACACAAAACCAACAAAGAACAAAGTAACACAGCTCTCTCCAATAAGTACAAAAAGTACTTAGGGAGGGCTAGAGTACTGGATAAAACAAATTATAAGAAAGGTATTTTTACTAACAGGTTTAACATGATGTAATGTAGTCAGGGAAAATTAGTATACTTTCTGCTTGTTTTGTTGGTTTCATTGTGATGGTTGTTGTTGTTGTCCTAATTTTTTATGTAAATGATGATGTACACTGTATTGATGTAATTCTTTGGAAATAAATTATTATTATTAATGTTGTTATTATTATTACTATTATTATTATTGTTATTATTATTATTATTATTATTATTATTATTATTATTATTATTATTATTATTATTATCATCATCAAATCAGCCATTTATGACCATGCTACATGTTATCTTCCAAAGCCTCAGAGATATAAACATGTGCACAATAATTTGGGGATCAGCCTTTTTTGTGTCTGTCTCCATTGATGGGATAAGGTTATTACGCCTTGAATTATGAATAATGAGGCTATAGGATGATAAGGGGTGAAGGGACAATCACAAGTATAACCATGCCTATGCAGGTCTCGAACCAGCAGCCTCTTTGGAGCAGACAACGGCTGCCACAACACTCTGCGTCATGGGGTCAGCATAATTATAATATTTATCTACATACACAATATTACAAACACATTTAATAAAAAAGTAATGTGTGCATGTAGACATTTTTTATGACATTTGCAAAGTATTATTGGTAAAATGCAGTGTTTCAAGCTCTATTAGCAATCTGAAATGCCAGTCAGAGATTAATATGTCCTTTCATATTGTACATGTTCACTGATGTGTATTAGATAAAATATCTTCAGTAAAAAATTATTAAATTTTGCATAGCCACCTTTCTGCAAGGAACTGTTTACATTACAAGAATTTATCAACATTTGAATGCAAAAGACTTTTGCCCATTTCTGAAAAAATGTAATTTAAAATACAAAAATGTTTTATGCTTCATAAAATTTTCATAAAAAACCAATAGTTCTAAATGAAGAAATTATTCCGAGTACATAGAATTTTTAGAAAAAAATCTATTATCTATTTGAGACACCAAGAATAGGCTATATAATAACTTTATTTCACATTAAACTGTTTTAGTAGAAACATGAGAGTGAACAACTAAAAGGAGAACAGATAAAAATATAGAAATGTTGAAACATATATTACTTGTTTACTCTGCAGAAATGAAAAAGCTTATCATTCTGTCAAATAAAACTACTTGCATCTTTATTTTTTCAGATTTGATGCTTGGAATTTTTTCAGATCAGATGCTTGGTACTGAAACAACAAAGTGAATATAGACCTAACACCAGAGACAGAGTGGATAAAACACTATACATAAATTGTGAAACAACGACGACCACATATCAAACACAAACATGACCTCAGATCTGGAAAATAAACTTGTAGAAGAAATAACAATAGAAGAACTTGCACAAGTACTTAAAAAAGCTAAAAACAGAAAAAGTCCTGGAATAGATGAAATTAACACAGAACTTATCAAATAAGTAAGAAAAAAGAGTGATTTTGATTGAATTATTTAACAAAATATGGACAGAGGACAGAGAATCTTACCCCAACAGAACGGCAAAATGGTTTGGTAACAAATATACACAAGAAAGGGACAACAATAGACTGCAACAACTACAGAGAGATAATGTTACTGCCAACCACCTCAAAATTATTTGCTTACATATTAAGGAAAGAATGAATGAGTGCACACAAAACTTTATGGGCAATGAACAATGTGGATTCAGAAAGGCCAGGAGCACAAAGGATGCTATATTCCCATTAGAAACTATATAAGACAAAGGAAATGAAAGAAACTTACCAACATATATGATATTCATAGACTTTGAAAAGACTTATAAGAAACAGGGTGAACATGGTTAAACTGTGAAAAGTATTAAAAGAAGAGAAAGGAATACCGGAAGAAATTATCAATGGAATAAAATCACTTCACATGTACTAAAAAACTCCACTAAAAATGAATAATGGGGCCAACACAAAATCACTTCATACAGAGGATTGAGACAAGGATGTGGTTTATTACCTAACCTTTACAATATTTATACCATCGGTCTCATCAAAGAATGGAAGAAGTCATGAAAATCAAGGTATTAAACTTCACAAAAAACAAATAATATAAACAGTCCTGTTTGCAGATGAAGAAATAATTTTGGCCGAATCATAAGATGAACTCCAAATAATCTTGGAAGAAAGAAAAAAAGGGAGGGGAAAAAAAAAATTCCAAGGAAACGAACTAAGAAGAATGAAGATTTCTTCTAGGCTGTCCGGGTGACGCCGCGTCGTTGGCAGATCTGCCAACGACGCGGCGTCACCCGGACAGCCTAGAAGTAATGGACTCGAGCCGCGGAAGCCTACGTGTACAAGAATGAAGATTGTCATTGAAGGTAAAATAATAGAGCAAATATCAAGATACAAATATTTAGACAATGACATTGGAATAAAATCCCAGAACCTCGAACCGCAAAGTTTTGAAATATAATTGAATGAATAAAAATTAAGACGCTTTGGGAAGGACATGACACAAGAAACCAAATTAAGAATACACAACATGTCAGTCAAACCAATGCTAGTATATGGGTCCGCAACCTGGATCCTAAAACTAAGAGAGAACCAAAGATTACAAACAGCTCAAATGAGGTTCCTAAGACACTTCCTTATTTCAATCAAACCACTGGATTGACAGAGAAATAAAGACATAAGGAAAAGGTTTTTGTTCTTGGCCAACTTTATGTATTATTCTTTAATAACTCATAATGACCCCTTTTAGTTGGCTTATTTACAAAACATAATGTTTTGACAACATTTATACATTGTCATCTTCAGCCTACGGAATAAATTGCATACAACAATTACTAAAAACAAAAACTAATTACATTCCTTAAATATTAAAACATGATTTCATTACTGACCATTTTGAATATTAATATATCAAAATAAACACAAGTCTGTTGAAATGGGTTTAGTTGTATCTCTGCTTTCTACCTGGTTTGTCATGTCACCATCATTTTCAAAGGTCAGTGAGTCAAAATTACTCATGATCAGCAATAAGATACTTTATTAGTGTGAGTCAATTTTACTCACACATTAGTAATAGAAGATATTTTTGTGAGTAAGATCTACTCACAAATAGTTCTGATAATTACAAATTGAGTATAGTATTTTTTATCTTATTTTAAATAGTTTTTTTTAGTAAAGATGGCTAGAAGACAGATGGCTGATGGAATATTGTTACTACATCATGATGAAAATTTAAAAACAAGCAAAAGGATAATTTGGAGGATGTATATTTTGACTCATGACAGTGATGCAAACCCTCAAAAGATATTCGAAATGCAGAGGCAGAGGTTAAAGAAGCAGGAGCAATGAAACCAAGAGAAAATATTGTTTATGTTCAACCTCGACCTATTAGAGATGTTAAAAATTTAACTAACCTTGAATAATTTAGTGATTTCATCCCAGAAGCATAGAAGAAAGTGCACAACATAACTGTGTAACAAATGCGAGATTGTGGAGAGCTTATGACCAAAATATGTTTTTCATGTAATGAGTAACTCATTACAGTACAACAATGATACAACAATCAGTCTGATTGTTGATTGAAATTATAATTTGAATGAAATAATGTGAATGAAAGTTGATCAATTTGTAAGCTTTTAATAAGACCAAATAATAAATATATTGTTTTATGAAAAAGAAAGTTATTTATTTAGGGATCTAAGCTTCCAGGTTACTATATATTTGTGGCAACACTTTTTTTTGGGCCAAAAATATATTTGTAATTTTAATATAACACCAATTATTGGTTCAGTTCCATTATGTGAAATTCTTTGAAAATGAAGATAAAACCAAAGCAATAAGTTATTTATTAAACTTGTTTTGCATTAAGTGAATCGATTCAACTCATGGTTAGTAATAACACACCTATAAATACGCTTAGTGTTCTAGGGTTAAGAAAATGGCATTTAAATGTTACTGTAAATGTAAAAAAAATGAGGGGAAAAAAACCCAACAACAACAATAGAAAAATCAATCTTATGACATCTCAAAGTGTCCAATTAGCACTACATGCACAAAAAGTTTGAAGACAAATTCGCTGCTGTTTTGAGAAAATGACGATTGCGTGTTTCTTAAAATGCAGAATTGTGAATTAGTTTTCACAAAAAACTTGAGTTTTGAAAAACTTTAAATGACATTATTTAAAGCATGTGTACTCAAAAATGTAATAATGTGAACAAATCACCACTAATGTAAATATTAGCAACATAAAGAGAGACAAAAAAATTATTTTTTTGTAATTTTTGAAAAAAAAAACAACAACAAAAGAACAGAGCAATGTGGCATTTGAATCATCTTATAGAATACATTAGTAACTATCCCTTCAAAAAGTTTTAAAAAAATTAGAGCCTTATTGATAAAATATTGTTTTTGTTATCTTTTTGTCAATTGCACATATTGTATGAAATAGTGTGAAAACTAAACATTTAAAAAAAAGAATATACACCACCTGAATGAAAGAACAGAATATGGAGAACAAACTTTATTTGAAAGAAAAGTCTCGATCTTCAATTTTGTAGTTGTAGGAAAACAAAAAAATTCACAAATTTGTAATTTTCGAAAATTCAGAGTAACCCGTAAAAAGAGGACATATGCCACTTTTATAAGTGTATTTTACTATATTCTGACAAAAAATTTTAAGAAAAAATTTGTAGCCATTTTAAGACAAAAGTTTGAAAATGCCCGTTGGGTTTCGTGGAAAGTACCCCCGAGTTGTAAAGATTTTTTTTCAAAATCGCAGCGCCTCCAGTCAAGCCAGATCGTCCAAGGAATATCCATTTTGGAAAAAATCGTATGTATGATTTAGGCACTGGTGGTGTTCACAGACAGACGTTTTGAAGAAAGAAAGAAAAGAAAAACAGCCATCATGTATATGTTCATATAAAAGAAAGTAAAAATGTTTCAACATTTCCCTTAGTTATGAAATTTGATGTGAAAATATTGTACCTTACCTATTAAACAATTAATTTAAATGTAGAAACATGCATTATGCTTTTAAAATAATTCATTCATTGTTCAAGTGAGGTAAAAGTGCATGCACTATCAAGCGTACACAAAAAAGAAGAATGACACATTTAAGGAGAAAAAGTAAAACTTCTAGACAATTTCTAATATTTTCTACCATTTAGAATTCTCTGACAGAAAGTAATTCTCTTAACTCACCTTTCTTGGCTCATTCTGTGACCAATCTTCAACATCCATTGTTGATTTAGTGTGTAGTGTTGGTAAATAACTATCACCTGTTATATCTGCATCAGCTGGTTTTTGGTTTGCTGTGTTTTGCAGCAAATGTTGTGCTGGTACTTGTGTATCTTCAATGAAACTATCATTCTCTACTTCCTAAAAATAAGAGGGAAATTGACTCACGTTTACATTCAATAATTACAACCCACCTTGGCCTTTGACCCAAACACCCTAATAGACCTTTACGTAATTGAAGTTAAAATACTTGAAGATTATTAATATGCTTACAGGTTACATTGTCACACCACGTTTGAAGACATCATCTAGTATGCTAGCATCAAGAGGTTAAAATCATATGAAATAATTACACGGACTTGGATAAACTGCGTCCTTGTCACTAACCAAAGTATGTCAGAATATACCAGTCATGTATGAATCATACCTAATTTAAATGAGTGTTGTCTTCCGAAATGAAAATAATACAAGAACAGGGTCAAATTTCAAATAATACAAGACAGAAATTAAAAATATAGAAAGACAAAAAATGAGGTGATAAGTATGACTTTTGTAGAAACATTTTGTACAACTGGTACTACAACAAGTATATATCATTTCTGAGATACTTTTTTAATACAATTAGATTCATAATTAAGAATTTCAACATTCATTACAGTATTTAATTTCATAATGAGTAGTTTGATTACAAATAAATATCAACTAGCTCTTAATCTCTGAATATAAACATGTACAATGCAAGTGTAACTATGAATTACTTTAAGATGTTAAGAAGATTCAACTGTTTAAAATTTTTCACTATTATATAACATACAAAGTGAAGTGGAACAACTCAAGTGGTCCAATGTGGCCAATCAAGTTAATAATAATAATAATAATAATAATAATAATAATAATAATAATAATAACAACAACAACAACATATACTTTTATGGTACTGGAGACAAGACACAGAGAGAGAGAGACAGAGTCAGAGAGACAGATTAAAGAACTTACCATTTCACTACTTTGTAGCATTCCTTTATAAACATTTCCACTTTTCTCCACAACTTTTTCCAATTTCTCTTTTTCTTGCTTTAGTTGCTTGTTCTCACTGAGAATTTTTAATATCTCATCTTTTAGTTCCAGATTTTCAATTTTAAGCCTTTCACATTCCACCTCACTTGCCTCATTTGCCTTCTTCAACAATTCATTCTCTTTCCTAAGAATATCTATATCTGATGGTGCATCAGAGTTAGCTTTCTCATGGTCACTAATGCTTCCATCAATTGCATCAGAAGATCCAGTAGGCACCTTTCCTTTCTTACTTTTCCTATTACTTTTCCGGGAACTCATTCCTATTACAAACAAAATGACACAAAATATGCAATAAAAATCCAGTGAAGACACTACTGCATCTGGAACAATAACAATGATGTAACCCTTTCTTTCATGTTGCATCCTTTGATTTAAGATTAAAAATAAATAATATATTACTTGATTAATTAATTGGCTCAGATAAAAGCAAAGTTATTCATATTGCAATACTAAAGATTTCTAAGACTTCTTTCAATGATTTCAATACATCAATATTAAAGGCATCATACATCATATATTTTAGTTAAAAGATCTGGACAATCAATAATACCACTGATACATTTGCATAAAAATTTTGTCATTCATCTTTGTAGATGATTGTAAAAAATCACTGATCAATGTTCCTCATCAGGGGCGGATTTAGACAGCTTGTCACCCTTGCCAAGACACATGTTCCCACCCCCACCCCGTATATTACCGATATTTCTAATGTTCAACAAAACTTATATTGATATATTCAATGTTTTTGTTTAAAATCCAAAGAAAAGTTAATCATTAGGAAACTTTTCCTAGAACTTCTATGATTGGTCAAAAGAAAATGCATCAATGCAGAGGATATAACAAATAAAATTGGATATTTGGCTGTCCGGGGTGAGCTGCATCTCAGTCGATTGAGCTAATGTTTCAGTCATAGAGTAGTGGCCTCCTTCAGAGCTATGCTGCATACCAGCAGTATAGCTCTGAAGAAATCTACATGATGGCCGAAACATCAGCTCAAGCAACTGAGACGTGGCTCATCCCAGGCAGCAAAGTATCCTATGACTCCGGCCGCAGAAGCTTACAAACACATAATATATTAAATGATAATACAGAAATGATAACACTAATTTCATTGAACTTTTTTAACTAACTTACAATCATAAAGACTGCTTTACATAATTTTTTTTAATTATTGATTTTTTTAAAATCATTCTCCAAGGTAGTATACTCTATGATAGATGAACCATACAGTAATCAGATATCATTGCTCATGAAAAACTTTTTAAGATCACTATTGATGCTTTGGCATGTCAATATTAACACTTTAAGAAAGTAAAACCATTCCCAGATTGAGGCGGTAATATTTCAAAATCATTTTATTTCATCACTTCCACGTAACAACATGGTTTTGTCCCAGGCAGATATTAAACTAAAAATTTGTTTAATTGATTGATGTATGGATAAGAGCAATAGATCAAAAACCACCAATGGATGTCAGCTACTCCTATTTTGCCAAAGCATTTGACAAAGCTCCGCATAAATGATTAATTTAATAACTCCTCTCCTTGGATATATAGGGCAACCTATGTATATGGATTCCAGAATACTTAATGGTGGAACATTCTAAGTGACCACTGGAAATATCTATTGACAACTGTATGAGACTCACATGATGCCCCACAATGTTCAGTTTTGTTTCCAATGTGGTTAACTTTTTTTTTGTATTCATTCTTTATGCCAGCAGCAAGAAACTGTTATACACATACCTTACACATCACATGACATTTTACATTACACCAAATTTGTGAATCACATGTTAACCACAAATATCATTCATTACTTTGTATGTAGTTATCAAGGTAGTGTTTAAATGAGTCAATAGTTTCTGCTTCAATACAATTTGCTGGAAGAGCATTTCATGTACATGAATGGTGATTAAGGAGTGTCGTTGTCCAGTTTTGGTTCTCTCCTTCCTCAATTCTAAATTGTCCTCTGGGCCTGGTATCCATGGAACTTGCAAACAGGATGGTTAATTTGTGGTGTGTGGAATTTCACACCTTTCACAATTTTGTATGCTCCTATGATAACAGCCTTGATTCTTCTCTGTTCTCAACTGAGTAGTGATATTTCTCAACATCTATCATAATACTGAAGTTGTAGATAGTTTCTGCAAATGTTTGTTACCTTTTATTATATGCTCTCTAGAAGTTGGATATCTTTTTAATAACATGAAGATGATATTATGTTTTCATGCTAGAGTATAGATTTAATGTATATGATATTTTTGGTTGCAAATACATTTAGAGAGGAAATGGGTCTTCTACAAAGATATAACATACTGTTAGCTCATTTGATGACAGCAGTTATGTTTTTCTCATTTCAATTCATTTTTAACCAGATCCCACATCATTTAGCTGTGCTATTGATTTTAGCATATGCTTTCTAATATTGCACCTTCAAGTTGGGTTGTTCTGTGAAGAACAGTGCATTTGCTGGAATTTAAAAGTAGTAATCTGCAGTTTTCCACCCGTTATTCACTATATTGAGTCCACCTTGTAAGGAGAAATTCAAGAGCAGGTTTGCAATTATTTTGGGTAGTCGTAAAGCAGTTGAAATCTGATGAAAGACTGTGACGCAGATCGGTTGCACATAATATAAACAGGGTTGAACCAAAAACTAAACTTTGTAGGAATTCACTTGTGCCTGGTCTAGGTGTTGATTCTGAATTTCTAATGATCACTTGGAATTCTCTGCTAAGTTTTCTTGAATCAATACACAATGGTTTATATGTCCTCTCCTTAGTCTCTCTCATAGACTAAGGAGAGGAGTGTAAAAATGAGGCTATTGTAGTGCCAAGATGGCATGGTATATGAAAGTAATGTGATGAAATGGAAATCAGAAAGTGCAGAAAGGAACATGTGGAAAGGAAGAGTTGTGAAAATGATGGATAGGTCCCAGAGATCCGGAGTAAAAATGATATGTAAATATGTATACATAATTATTTAACACTGTGTAAGGCAAGTATTAGATTATTATATTAGATGAGTGTATAAAAAAAATCCTTTTGTACCCTTCATGAAGACTTAATAAAAGCCAAAATGTTGGCAACTTAAATGATGTTTTTGTAATGACCGAAAGTCAAGAACATTCCATTATATAAATCAAGGCGGTCAAAAAATCAAGCATGTGTTGATTAAATTTTATGTTTCTTATTGCTCAATAACTATATAAGTTGTGTTCACAATTGAGAATTCAAATGTGAGAATTATCATCGGTTTATAATAGCCTGTGCATTGATCATATTGTCATTATATTAACCTGTCAGATCAGAAGAAATCAGAATTGTAACTACACATTTTTAAACTTTCTTATGATATATCCTTGATAAATTTCTTTTTGTAGTTATTTTCTCTATACCCTTTATTCACATTTGGAAAATTGAATCCATGTATATTATCAATGACATGTTTGGAGATGGCACATTGTGAAGAGCTGATTTTTATATCAAACATGTGTTGGCCTGGTCTTTGTATTTCATTCTGCCTGCATGCATTAGTAAACAACAAAAAGATAATTGGTAACAAAGTCATTTAAATTTCCATTCCTCCAAAAGAAACAAATCATAAAAGCAGTTTAACTTTTAGGCATCAGATGTCAGCAGTTGGAGTAAATTTTTTCTAATAATTCTTATTATCTAGTGTTTCAAGATGTGTTTAACTTATTTTACTTTGAAATATCAAACAGCCTCTTTTCCTCTAAGCCACACATACAGCACCGCTTCTCTTGGGGATGCTGCTCAAAATTAAGTTCCAATATGACGCTGAAGCTATTTTCGCACTTAAAACAATGATTTACAAAGTGTGCAATGTTTGCACAGGTCCAACTAATATAATATAAAGCATATACCTGATTAATTCTTATGTTGTATAACAGCAAAAATCAGTTATATTAAAATTCTTAAAAATTTACCCAATTCTCTTTGAGTTGGAATTATAATGTGACAATGCTGGAAACCTCCTCTGATTCTCTGATGTGAATAATTCTCTCTAAGCACTCTATATACATAATCAATTAAGAACAGTGATTGATTCAAGGAGAGAATGGGCGTTAATCACAAAATGAATCAAAGTTTTCATTAAGTGATTCTAGCATGGTAGCCAGTTCACAGCTGCATGCAATTCATCCACAATTGCCATTCATTCAAACTCATTCCCCCTTCTCTATATGTTGAAATGTAGTCAAGAACATGCTACCACAGAGACACCACTGAGATGGGTATAAAGTGGAGAATAAGTGTGCTGAATGTTCACGGGGAAGAACAAAAACAAATACAGATGGACGTGAAGACAGTTGCGTACGGGGCTCTCCAAGTAAATAATTCTTTCCAATTGATTTTCTGAGTGATACAATCCATGTTCACTCAGAATTTTTTTTTTTTTTTAAGGATTAAATAATATTTTTGTTTGCTTTTACATTGCTATCTGCACTAGTGTCTATGATAAACCAACATGATAATGTAGTGTTAGCAAATGAATGCACAGTAATTTCAGTGTCATAACTCATGTTACCTCAGTGTTTCTTGCTGGTAGATGAGACACAATAATTTCATCTGATCAATATCCAGGCTATTTTTAAATAACATAACTTAGAAGCTCTTAAAGTTTTTATATATATATATATATATATA